GGCACGAGAGGAGCCCGAAGGCGAGATTTGTGGGCCTGCAACAACGGGGGGGTGCACACGCCGGACGCGGCCGCGCGCAGCTGTAGGGCGCGGTGGGTCTACAGGGGGGGCGATCGCAGAGGAAAGAATGGAGAGGTGGGGAAGCAAAGAGGAGAATGGACAGAACGGGGGGACGGGAGGCGGGGAGAGGAAGGAGGAGGAAGAGAGGAAGAGACAAAGGAAGGGGAGACGGAAGAACGCGGGGAATGGTGGGGGAACGGGGAGGTCGGGGTGGGGGACGGGCAGAATTCGGGGGAGAGGGGAAAAGGAAGGAAGGGGAGACGGAAGAACGCGGGGAATGGTGGGGGAACGGGGAGGTCGGGGTGGGGGACGGGCAGAATTCGGGGGAGAGGGGAAAAGGAAGGAAGGGAAACGCTCTCCAATTGTTCTTGCGTATGTAGTTCATATGATGTGTTGTGCCGTCGTTGTTCCACCCCCACATGCCCCTTTTCCACCTACATGATCCTCATCAACATCCTCATCCTCATCACCACCACAACCACAACAATCATCGACAACACGATCAGCCTCATAATGATCAGAATCGTCCCCTGGATGATCATCACCATCCTCAGCATCATCACCACAACTATCGTCGTTAGCACAAACAAACACCATTTCCACTACACTCACCCTCACCATCACCATCGCCATCGCCATTGTCATATCCATCAACCTCGTCATCCCCAGAATCACAAAGCACCATCATCATCATCGTCACCACCACCCTTAACATCATCATCATCACCACCATCATCATCCTCATCATCCCCGTCGTCGTCATCGTCATCCACCACCAACTCCTCAATTGCATCCTCGCCCTCAGCATCAACATCAGCATCGCCCTGACCACCATCATCCTCACGAACTGTCGCCATAAGAACCATCAGCAGAATCGCTGATTCCTGTTTATGATAATCGCCACCATCCCCATGATCGGCATCCTCGCCGTCATCACCGACAACACGATGTCCTTCAGTGAGTTGCCAGATAATTCGCTCGGTTCGGGGATTAGACCATGTCCGTACATTGAAACCCAAGATCGAAGGGACTTCTTGGGAATGAGACTCGCGCTCTCTTCCCACCCCCTTTCCCACGCCCCGTTGCGAACGCGCGCGACGATTTGTTCTGGCCCGCGGGCAGAGGACTGCCAATTGCCGGTGAACGGCCTTTCCACCCATCACGCGCCCCGAACACATGCGGCCAGCTAAACGCACTTGCCACGCGAACCGCCAGCTCCAAACACCGACGCCACCCCGATCCCCACACCCGTGCGGGGCACCCGCTCAACGACGCCCCCTTCCAGCGCAGAAAACCCTTTGTGTGCATGTGTTTTTCCTGTTCTGAGATCAGAGGATCTCTTCTCCGAACCCTCGTTGACAGGCTGCCCCTGCACGAGGTCATGCGACGCGGCTGCAATGCCCCGTAAACAGATGCGAGAACGGATGACGATACGCGCGCGTTCAGAAGACGGCGCGCGCACCGCATTCGCGCGAAGACGCAGCGCGCTAAAGAGTCTCGCAACTGTTGTCTCGAGCCGACAGCGCGGAGACGCGCGCGCAGGCTCACGCGCGAAACGGGCAGGGGGGCAAGAGGAACGACTCCCCCCGCGGCGGGCCACCGGGCAGCCGCGGCGCTCGCGCGCCAGCCACATGCGCACCTCGCAAGGGCGCGCACGACCCAAAAAGAACGTTTCACAGCGCGGCCCGCCCGAGCAGCACCTACTTCTGCCGCGGAGGCTAGGGCCTGGTAGCTTGACGCAGTCTTAACTGATTCGCCAGCCGCCAGCGGGGAACCCCGCGCTGCTCGCTCAACCAACGACGCCCTTCCCGCGGCCTTCCTTCGACCTCCTCGCTCGCGTGGAAATCCCCCGCGCTGCCGCCGCTGCCGTTCTCCTCAACAGACTTACCCGCGCCCCGCGTTTCCCCCCGCTGCTTTGGCCCGCGCCTCGGACCGCCCACGCGGCGGAATCTTCCCCGCGGCAAGTCGGCCCCCATCCCGCGCGTCTCCGGCGCCCTTCTCCGCCGCTGCGAGTCCGCGGCTGCGTTCCCAGGGGGCCGCGACTGCGGGCGCGGCATGAAACGCCTTCTTGCTGGCCGTCGCCCTCGACGTCCTGGACGACGATCGGGGGCCCCCAGACGTCGCTCGCTAACGTTCGCAGCCCCCCCCCCCCCCCCCTTAGACCACGAGCGGCGCCCCCGCCTCAAGAGTCAGAGCTACTGTCTCCCATGCATTCGATCCACTGATTATCCTTCTTGTCCTTTCCATCCTCGAGGACAGTCTGAGGGCTTCTCGCCCCCGGCAGGCGCCGCTGCGCTGCGCCCGAACACGCGCTTTCCCCCTTCGGCGCACCTGCCGACGGCGGGGGGCGCCGGCACTAGGAGCCACGTTCTGCATGCGCGAGATCACCAGCTCGCCGCGGGCCGGGGCGGCGCAGTTCGCCCAGGGCTTGCGCCGCCCTTCTCTTTGGCCCATCGATCCGGCGGTTCGCCCAGCGACGAGAAGATTGGCGGCCCCGCTCATCCCCAATAGCGAAGCCACACACCTGCGGGTTCTTTTCGGGGCTGCCACTTGCCCAAACGTCGGAAATAACGCTCAGAACAGAGCCCGCATCTGCCCGCTCGGAGCTTCCATGCCACTCGGGCCCATCCTCAGCATGAAACCGCGGCGGGCCCCCTTTCGCCCGGCTTCCATCAACGCCAACCGCCGCCGCGTCGCTGCAGCCAGAAGAATCACCACGGTCAGCTCTGACAGCTGGGCGCGACATTCCGCCCAATCAGTTCCCGCCCTTTCAGCGGGGCAATCGAAGTCGGCGCTATCAGTTTCAGCCAGTCAGCAGTTGCTCCATCGCCTCACGCAATCCATCGAAATGCATATGCTAGTCTTCCTTGAACAGAAGGTCCGACGCCCTTGCGAAATCAAACCGCACGCGCGGCGAAGGCCCCCTGAAGCCACCATTGCGCCGCGGCCGAATCAATTACCCCAGCGGCCACCGGTCTCGCAGCCCTCCGTTTCCACGCAGTCCGAGCCACGGCATCTGGGATGTCCAGCAGGACGACCTCGAGCCCCTCCCGCCTGCACGTGGGAGCGCGATTACTTTCTTTCGGGGCGACACGTTCGGCGCCGCCACCTCCCGGCCGACATCCGCCCCCGGGAGGGCCACCCCCTGGCCGGCGCCCGCCCCCGGGCGGCCCCGGGCATCCACTGGGACGGCCACCCCGCCAGTTGCTGGGGCCGCCCCCACGAGGGCCCCCAGGGCCGCCAGAAACCCTGGGGCGATTCATTTTCTTCCAGGCAGCACTGCGGGAGCCCGTCAAAGGTTGCCACCGCCCAGGGCTAAGCCATGGCCATCTCCGTCTCCGGGGCCGTCGCACCCGGGGCCCCCTTCACCCACCAGGCCTTCGCCCGACTTGGGCCCGAGAGAGCGCCGGCCCACTGGGGGCCCCAGCGCCTTGACTGGGTCGAAAGAAACCGCCCCGGCAGGCCCCGGCCACCCCTGCCTCATGCCAGGCCTGCCCCACACCGACCATCCCTGCAGCGAATGCGCCCTCTCGTTCTTCAGCCTTCTGCAGGCGAACTCCCCGCCCAATCTTTCGCGCCCCTCGACTGGCGCGTCGACGACCCCCGCCCCTTTGCCCCCTGCGCCCGCCCTCGGACCTCGCGGGCCTGAACTTCTGCATTGGCGGCCATTGAATTATAAGCGCGCTGCAGCTCCTCGAGTCTCTCCGCGACGCCCTCGTTGCTGCGCCTGCATTTCGGCCTGCAGTCGCTCGAGATTCTCAAACTGCAGCCCGCGCCCCGACGCCTCTTCCTCGTCTGCCCCCCTCCCCCGCGCGCCTCCTCAAAGGCCCGGGCCTTCTTCGCGCGGCATCACGGCATCGACGCAGACTCTCGTCGCAGTGGTCTTCGCAGCAAGCATTCCGACATTCAACGCAGTTAGCCTCGCCACGCAAGCTGCGCACGCGGCGCCGAATTGCCGCCCGCCCGCCGCCTGCCCCCGCCGCGATGCCACGCCCTACAGTCGCCGTCGCCGCGGCCAGCTGCCGGGCGAGGGCAGCCGTCGCCGACGCTCGCGCAGGGCCCGCCCCATATTCGACTTCAAGCAGGCTGGCCCCCGACGCTTGCGCGGCGCACATTTGTGCCCTTACCCTTGCGCGACGGTCAGTTTTCAAAACCGCGGCCTCAGCCCCTCGGGCAGGGAATATGCCCTCAGCGCGACTTCGATTTCAGCCTCGCCGCGGGCCGCGGCAAGTCCTGCGACCCCACTCTTCGGGCTGGCCCCATCGGCGGCGCGAGCCATTTCTTCGCCCCCGCGCGCCCTCGGCGCCATCCGATTATTCTCAGCCTCTTCGCAGTAAGGCACCTCGATCGCCCTCTCCAGCCATCTCCCTGTCACGGGCCCTAACCGATCTTTCTATCTCTCCCCGATCAACGGGGGCCTAGCGCATCGGCTGCCGAAGCGTCTCCCGCGACCGTTGCACGCCACTCTCCGCCCGCTGCTGCGCAGCCCCCCGCTCGGCCAACCTCGGCCCATAGCAATTGCGCTTGCCCTGCGGGGGGGCGCCCAGCGCAAGGATAAGTCGGGCCGCAGTGAACTCCGCGCGCGCATAACACCACCGGCATGGCCCGCAACATGGCCACACACACACACGCACCACGCGACAGGCCCCGGCAGGGGCGAAAGGAAGAGGCAACATCAAAGAGAAAACACTCAATGGGAGAGGCGGTCGCAGAGAGACGTCGAGACGCACGCCCGCGGACAGGAAGAAATAAAATGGACGCGCGCACGACGTCGCCCGAGACTGGGATGGATCATCGCTGGCCAGCTCACGCTGGAGAAGAACAGGACGCACACCTGACGACAACGACCCAGAAAGGAAGCAGGACTGCGAAAGCGCGCGAGAGAAGGAGCACGTCGACTTGCACCTGGGAGGGCGGGGCCTCCCCATTCGGCCCGAAGGGCGCGCGCACTGGCTAGTTAGCGGGAGCAACGAAAAAGATGCGAGCCCGACGACCGGGGCCCTCAGGGCCCAGCTGCCCTGAGCGCGAGCTGGAGCGCCGAAGGCGCCGTTTGCCCCCCCCCCGGCACGAGGCGACATGGGGAACACGCACCACCCCGCCCAAAATGGGCTGCTGTTCACGATGAGGGAGGTATGACCCCCGCCCAAGGGGCTGCTCTTCGCGATTAGAAACGCGCCGACCCCGCCCAAAATG